GGTCAGTATGCCCAGGAGGAAATGTTAGCTCTGCTAGGCATCAAGAGGCTGGAACCACAGGACATGCCACAGGAGAAGACCTGCCCGGAGGGTTTCCGAGGCTGTCATCTCTCCAGAAGCACATTGCCATGACATCCCCCCCAGAGTGTCGGTCTGGTGGGTGCAGCCCTCAGGTTAGTGGTCCCGCACGTAGCCACTACCCCATCAGCTCCCATTGTTATCTCCCAGCCCCTCAGAGATCCGAGAAATCCTGCACCTGGCCAGACAGCATGCGCTCGAGGTCATTCCCTTGCTGCAGACGTTTGGGCACATGGAGGTGAGTGGAAGTGTGGGGCTTGGACCGCCGGCTGCCAGGCTCAGGGCCAGCGTGTGGGAGCTGCAGGACTCAATGGGGGGCAGGCTGGTGGGGGGTAGCACAGAACTCCACACAAGCACACATCCACCCTGAGGGGCAGGAGGAATGGGGGTGATGGGGCCAGAGTTGGGGTCGGGGTTTTGTTTGCTTTTTATATTGTTCCCAAAACACTGTGCAAGGTAAAATGCAAGATTAAGAAAAGCAATGGGGTTTTCCTTTTGCTTTCTGTCCACTCGTTGGCGGTAAGCATCCACCTTGGCTGTCATTATCTGTCACGATTTTGTGTCTTCTCATGTTGTATCAGAAACACTTTTTCAGCCTCCTCTGTTTTCCAAGTCTCTGTGGAACTAGGCCCATTTTTCCTGAAAGTGACACCATCTGTGCCTGGGATTTCCTTTGCGTGAAACAATTTGTGTTTTTTAGACATTTTTTTATTATCTTTTAAAGTGAACATATAGTAAAAAGGACTGTATCTGTCACACAGCTCTGTGCATGTTTACACATGTTTGTGTGGACTCCTGTGTGGTGCTGTAGGATAAGCACTGGACTGCTAACTACAAGGTTAGTGGTTCAAACCCACCAGCCACTCCTCGGAAACCTTATACGGGATCGCTGTGAGTTGGAACCAACTGGAAGGCACTTAACAACAACAACAAATCGTTTGTACAGCTCCACTGCCCCGAAGCTCCCCGAATGTCCCTTGGCAACCCCCATGCGGCCACAGTTGTGTTTTCTGTCATGACGTCTTCGTCTTTTCCAGAGCGTCGTATAAATGGAGTCATACAGCGTGTATCGATACCACTGAGATGACCCCACTGGCCGAAGACTCTCCAGTGGTCACCTTGGCACCTTAGCCAACACCTCATGGGGTCTTGTAGTTGGTTAGTCAATTGCCTGGATTTGACCTGTGTGGCCACAGGTTTGGCATTCTTGGTTTTGGTTTTGCACCTGGCTTTCTAAAGGGTCAGCTGTGTATCTTCATGGCTGCTGGTCAGCCAAGGTTTGGATGAGGTTGTGTTCAACATCCGAGTCTGGGCGGCCTCCACCCTCTGCCTCCACCCTGTGAGTGGGCCGGGGAGCGGTTCTCAGGGTCTGTGTCCCCTCGCCCCCCACCACCACCCCCCACGGTGGAAAACACCATATCATCAGCCAAAACAAGGCCAGGGGCAGACTGTGGGACAGACCATCAATTGTTTAGATGCAAGTCAAAGCTGAAGCTGAAGAAAATTGAAACAAGTCCACGGGAGCAAAAATATGACTTTGAACACATTGCACCTGAACGTAGAGATCCTCTCAAGAACAAATGTGATGCATTCGACACCAAAGACCAGAGACCAGAAGAGTTTAGGGATGAAATCAAGAACATCATATAGGAAGAAAGCAAAAGGTCATTAAGAAGAAAAGGCTAAGACTAAAATGGATGCCAGAAGAAACCCGGAAACTTACTCTCCAGCATAGAGATGCTAAAGCACATTAAAGAAATGAGGAGGTCAAAGAACTGAGCAGGGAATTCAAAGGTCAGTTCAAGAAGACAAGGTCAAATATTACAATGCAATGTGCTAAGACCTGGAGTTAGAAAACACGCTCAGCATTTCTCCAGGTGAGGGAACTGAAGAAAAATGCAATCCTTAACTTGAAATATTGAAGGATTCCTTGGGCAAATTATTGAATGATGCAGAAAGCATCAAAAGAAGATGTAAGGAATACACAGAGTCTCTGTACCAAAAAGAAATGGTCGCTATTCAGCCTTTTCTAGAGGTAGGATATGATCAAGCCACAGTGATACTGAAGGAAGAAGTCCAAGGTACATTGGAGGCATCGGCAAAGAACAAGGCACTGGAAATTGATAGAACATAAATTGGAATCTTTCAACAGACTGATGCAGCATTGGAGCACTCACTCACCTATGCCAAGAAATTTGGAAGACAGCTACCTGACCAACCAACTGACTGGAAGAGATCCGTCCATATTTGTGCCCATTCCAAAGAGAGGTGACCCAACGGAATGCAGAAATCATTAGACAATATCATTAATATTGCATGCAAGTAAAATTTTGCTAAAGATAATACAAAAATGGCTGCAATATATTGACAGAGAACTTCCAAAAGTTCAAGCCAGATTCAGAAGAGGATGGGCAAAGGCTTTTGATTGTATGGATCATGACAAGCTATGGACAACATTGTGGAGAATGCGTATTCTGGCATACTTACTTACACTCATGAGGAACCTGTACATAGACAAGAGGCAGTTTTCAAACAGAACAAAAGAACACTGAATGGTTTAAAATTAGGAGAGGTGTGTGCCAGGGTTGTATTCTTTCACCATACTTATTCAGTCTGTGTGCTGAGCAAATAATCTGAGAAGCTGGGTTATATGAAGAAAAACACAGCATCAGGATTGGAGGAAGACTCATTAACAACCTGTAACATGCAGATGATAGAACCTTGCTTGCTGAGAGGGAAAATGATTTAAAATACTTACTGATGAAGGTCAAAGATTACAGCCTTCGGTATGGGTTGCACCTCAATGTAAAGAAAACAAAAATTCTCACCACTGCACCAGTGAACAACATCCATATAAATGGAGAAAAGATTGAAGTTGTCAACGACTTCATTTTGCTTGGATCAACCAGAGCATAACTCATGGAAGCAGCAGTCAAGAAGGCAACCGATGTATTACATTCGGCAGATTTGCTGCACAAGACCTCTTTAAGGTGTTGAAAAGCAAAGATGTCAATTTGAGGACTAAAGTGCACCTGAACGAAGCTATGGTATTTTCAACAACCTCATATGCATGTCATGATCGGACAGTGAATAAAGAATTGATACATTTGAGTTACGGTGTTGGAGGAGGAGATTAAAAGTACCATGGTCTGCCAAAAGAACAAACAGATCTTTGTTGGAAGAAGTACAGTCAGAATGTTCCTTGGAAGCCAGGAAGGCCAGACTTTATCTCTCATACTTTGGACATAATATTAGGAGGGACCAGTTTCTGGAGAGAAGGATACCATGTTTGGTAAGGTGGAGGGTCAGAGCAAAAGAGGAAGACCCACAAAGAGATGGGTTGGCGCAGTGGAAGTAGTAATGGGATCAGGTGTAGCCACGGTTGTGAGGTTGGCGCAAGACCGGGCAGTGTTTCATTCTATTGTGCATAGATAGGGTCGCTTCGAGTCGGTGCTAAATCAGTAGCACCTAACAACAACAACAACAACAACAACAAGACAGAAGTCAATTGTACCTCTGCTCTCCAGCCTTTTTACCAATTCTGACACCGGCCGCCCCTCCCAGGGCACGCTCTACTTCTATATTGGACAGTCTCTGGCAGTGGCCACAGGGAATGCACACCAGATTTACGGTGAAGTGGTTTATTAAGGAAGCAGGAGAGCAGAACTCAGCATCAGGGCCCACAGGCTACAACTCAGGATCAAAAAACAAGAAGGCAAAGTTGCCCTTCTTCAATGCACGATGACTCTCTCAGCTCCTCTAGACCACGTCGACCTCCTCTCAGCCCCCTCTGCACAGGCCCCTCTCGGCCACCTCACTCGGCCACTTCAAGATGGGCTCCTCTTGGCCCCTTGCTGTCTTCAGTTTTATATCCCTTGGCCCATGTTAACAACTTTGAGGAGGCTCCTTTTATCTTCTCTCTGCTATTTACGCTCTCCTCTTGCCCCCTTGTTTCCTGGTGAGTGCCACCATAGAGCCTCTGAGGGTATTCTCTCCACAGTTTGTGTTGAAGCACGAGGCATTCGCTCACCTGCGGGAAGTGGCACTCTTTCCCAACACCCTGAACCCCCATGAGGAGGAGTCGCTGGCACTGATCGGAGCCATGGTCGACCAGGTCATGGAGCTGCACTGCGGAGCCAGATGGCTCCACATTGGTTGTGATGAGGTACAGTTCCTCTTCCTTCTCCCCCTGGAGTGTTGACGCCCCCCATCACCTGTAGGGTGTACCTCCCTCCTTTCTGGGACATTCTTCTGTGGCGTGGTGACCAAAGTTTACAGACAGACTTGCCAAGAAGACAGGTGCTATTTGGGCAGCCAGGCAGTCAGTGTAAGAACCCTGGTGCCACAAAAGGTTAAGCATCAGGCTGTTAACCAAAAGGTTGCATTTCAAACCCACCTACCGCTGTGGGTGTGGCAGTTTGGGAGACCTAAGGGGACAGTTTTGCTGTGTGCTGTAGGATCACTTTGAGTTGAATCCACTCGTTGGCAGTGGGTTTGTGGCTTTGGTAGATGGTTCTGATTGATGTCCGCTGGAAGCAGGGGCTCCTCAGGACACTGGTGAGGCATTCTCCGGCGTTCTGCTCCTGTAAAGGTGTGCCGCTCACGCCGTGGGCTCATGCTGCAGGCTAATGCCTTTTTTTTTTTTTTTTTCCAAACAAATAAGTTTTATTGGCATCTAAAAACAGAAGTCTCCCAACATTGAAATGCCCTTTAATATTTATGGTGATGTATCCTTGGTTCTTTTTGGGCACTGCAGTGTGAGGAACATACCGGGTTTTGTTCCCTTCACCCAAGTGAATCCCCTCTGTCACATCAGCAGGTGCCTTAACAGCACCAGCTTCCTTTCTGTCTCTGAAGTTGCCTGTGTGGGGTCTTACCTAACTAAGCAGGTCACACAATACTGTGCTTCTCTTAGTCCAGTTTTCAAGGGTCATGCACGTGGTAGCGTTTCTCATCATGGCCATTGTGTGCCTGAACCTAGTTCTGTCTGTCCGTCCATCACTTCATGGACGGCCCTTGTGAATATCCTCAGGGAGCCCTGGAGGAAGTTTAATTAATCCTGGCCATCTCTGCAGGTCTGCTGGAGTCGAGGGAGGCTCCCACCCCTTCCCACAGTTCCCGTTCCTTCCCTTCAGGTCTATTACCTTGGAGAGGGGGAGACCTCGAGGCAGTGGTTACAACAGCCGCAAAACAGCAAAGCCAAACTGTGCCTGTCCCACCTGAAGGCTGTGGCCAGCCATGTGCTCACCCGGCACCCCAGCACCACACCCCTGGTGTGGGACGACATGCTTCGAGACGTGCCCGAAGACCTTCTCCAAGGTTGGGCCCTCCCCCTCCCCACCCCACCCCAAAGTGGGCAGCAGCCAGACTGCATGCAGGGGCGGAACACAGCTTCTCTGACACCGCACACTTCTAGGGAGGAAAAAGGAAGTGCAGCCAACTTTCCGGAAGCTGTTAGCTTCCAAGTGTCCTTGTGCATGCAGTGGTGGGTTTAAAGGCCTGGTGCCTTCCAGGTGTGCGGGCCCTGAGCTCACAACAGGCTGGTGAAGGAGGGCCCAGGGTCAGGGTGTCGGTCACCTGCTCTGGCTGCCCTGATCAGAAGCCTCAGTCAGGGTCTCCTCTGCGGCCTGCGCACATGACCGTGAAACCAACAAGCCAGGTTGTGGGGTGGGGAAACAGCACCTCCCTCCCCAGGACTCAAGCTGGCACCCAGTGAAGAGTGCGGGCCAGGGGCAGCTCGCCCCATCTGATGTCCTAGTTGGTGGCCATTGGCCACAGGTGGTTACTTAGAGCTAATGAAAAGTCATTAGAATACAGTCGGGGCAGCTTGCTCCGCATGTTGCGCATCTGACACTGAGGTAACACGTCTCCATCCTCAGACAAATGCCCTGGCAGTACCACCGCGGTGGGGTGGGGGTGTATGGCACCTCGCCCTTTAAGGAGTCCTAGTGGCACAGTGGTTAAACACTTGGCTGCTGACTGAAAGATCAGTGGTTCAAACCCACCAGCCACTCAGAGGGAGAAAGATGAGCCTGTCTGCTTCCAACCGTGGAGACTCTAGGGAGCGGTTCTACGCCGCCATACAGGGTCTCTGTGAGTCCAAAGCAACTCCAGGGCAACTGGTGTGTTTCAAGTTAAATGGGGTCATTCCCGAAGCATTTCTGGTTTGTGTTTGTGGATTTATAACCCCAAGCAGCTCAGTGTTGAGGCGGGGTGTGGGATCTAAGGGAGGAGAAGTTGGGGGTGGGCAGCCTGGTACCCCAGGCCCAGTGGGAACTTGGTCTCCGTGTCTCTGCAGAGTCGGGTGTGCCACAGCTGGTAGTACCAGTGCTATGGGACTATGGGGCTGACCTGGATGTCCACGGCAAAGGTCAGTGTCCCTGAGCCCCCTGGGCCTGCTGGGCAGAAACCTCTAGGGCCTCGCTGACCACACCCCTCTCTGGTCTCCCCAAGAACCCCCGAGCCTCCCTCTCTTCCCCGAGCCCTCAGAGCTGGGTCTCAAGGATGCTCTCCCCTCAGTCCTCCTCATGGAAAAGTTCCAGAAGTGTGGCTTTCCCCAGCTGTGGGCTGCCAGTGCATTCAAGGGGGCTACGGGGGCACCCCAGACACTGACCCCCATCCAGCACCATCTGCGGAATCACCTTCAGTGGCTTCGGGCAGCACAGGCTGTGCCAGCCGGGACACTGCAGGGCATCGTGCTGACCGGCTGGCAGAGGTAGAGCTGGCTGGTGGTGGGGAGCCTCGGCTTGGAGAGTGGGGGCTGCTCTGGGACCTGAGATAGGGCAGGGACCCCAGCTCTCTCTGGACTGCAGGTATGACCACTTCTCGGTGCTGTGTGAGTTGCTGCCTGTGGGGATTCCATCGCTGGCCATCTGTCTGCAGACACTGTTGCAAGGTACTTCGCTGCATGCCTCCCCCTGACCTCCTGAGGAAGACGGGGCAGGCCACATGAGCAGCCTGGCCCAGGGCATGGACTGCTGGACTGAGGTCATCCCAGGTGGAGTGCTGATTGGTGGGGCGGGGGCTTTCACATAACTGCACATGGAAGCAGCAGTCTGTCCCCCTAGATGGGGCTGTGCCCCCCACACTCACCAGGGTGAGGCTGTGCCCGGTCACTGGGCCCCGTTCTGCCTAAGCCAGCACCATACAGCCCGCTCAGGGTAAGGGTCCCACCCATTCATCTGCAGGAGGCTTTGGCGAAGAGGTGAAGGACAAGGTGGAGAGTTGCCTTGGGGTCGCCAGCCTGGACCTAACCGACTTTACAAGGTAGCCCTCACTCCACAAACCCCAAACCCTTGCTCGGACCACCCTTCTCAGCCCCTTCTCTTGGCAGGGAGGGCGCTGGCTCCTTCCCCGGCAGTGACATCCTGGACCTCGTCACCCAAGTCAGCGTCCACCTGCGGAGCTCTGTGGAGGCCCTGCTGGACAGCAACAGGTGAGGCGTCTCCGTTCCAACCCCTGCATTTCCGTCCCTGTCCCTCCTGCCAGCTGGTCAGCCCGGGCCACAGGCATGCACGTGTGTGGTTTGTCCAGGTGTGTGACCGGCTGGTTCAGCCCCTACCACCGCAGGCGGAAGGTCATCCACCCTGTCATGGTCCAACACATCCAGCCCGAGGTGCTCAGGTCAGGACCCTCTCCTGCCCAGGCCCCCACCTAGGGTTACAGTCGGAGGGGACTGTGCCCAGAGTGAGAGGGTCTCAGAGGCTGCATGCTGGCTGCCTTACGATATGCTCACAGCCACCTGTCACCCCAGCCTCCTGGGCCACTGGGGGCTCTTCGTGCAGGAGCTGGAGGCTGCCCTGAATCGAATCTTCTACCCGGATGCCGTGGAAGAATGGCTGGAGGAGAATGTGCATCCCAGCCTGCAGAAACTGCAGAGTCTGGCCGGTGACCTCCGCGAGGCTGCTGGCCAACCACCAGATGACCAGGCAGGGTCTCCAAGAACACACGGAGACCTCACAATCAGGCAGGAACCCCAAGAGCGGGTGGGAACCCCTCATAACCATGACCTGACCTAGCAGACCTCCTCCCACTGCATCTAGAGCCGTGTGTGAGGCCTGTGGAGCCACTGGGCAGCAGTAAGCATCAGAGACCAGGGAATGGTGAGACCAGGGAACGGGACCAGGCCGTGATGTGCACACAGATTGCTGGTGCTCTGGAAGTTAACAGGAGCGGGAAGCTAGAAATCGCAGCAATACAAGTTTGGAAACTTATCACTCCTCTGGTCTTATACTTTCTAGTTGAAGTCTTCAGATCCCGCCCAGGGTGGTGGGGAGGGTGAGACGGGACAGCCCTTCCCTCACTTTGGACCGTCTTCCAGTCCTCAAGGATGAACACATGGTACTCATTACAGCTTTTCACACTTTTTATTTTACAAAAAAAATTTCAAAAGTAACCATTAAAAACCTTTGGCATGTTCAAACAGCCAGGTCCCCAAAGCAATGGGGAAGGTCTCCCCTCCTGCTCCTGGAAACTACTTTACTGGACCTCAGCCATTGTCCCTGAACCTCGTCCCCAAGTCCGGCCATCTCACGACCTCCTTCAAGGTTCCAAGTGCAGGGCCTGAGACAGGGTTGGACCTGGATCAGAGGCTTTGTGGGGCCCATGTTGGGACCAGGAGGTTCCAACTCTAAGGTGAGGGGACAGCTGGGCTGCTCCCAGGCCACACTGCCTTTGTAGGGATCTGGCTTCGGGAAAGGGGCTCTGGTGGAGATGAAACAATGGATTTCCACAGAGATCCCAGTCTCAGAGACCCCGAGAGAGCCCCACTCTGCCCTTGTAGGGATGCTGTGGTTTCATGTTGGACACACAAGGCCGGCACCCAGTTCCGGGTCAAGGGCAGCAAACCCCAATCAGTCTGTCAAGATCAGCTGGAAATCAGGGTTTTCAAGTGCAAGTTCATGGGATCCAACAGTCTTCAATGTCAAGGTCTGCTCGAGGCCACGAGCTGCCTACTACTCTCACCAAATGGCCTTGCCAAGGGTGGAGAAGGACGACACCACAGTCCACAGCCAGCCAGGTCCTGTGGTTCCGATGGCGTTGCATAGCGCACAGAGTCAGACCTTCCCAGACCCACAGGGCTGGGCATCCGAACAGAAAACGTGCAGTGT